TCACAAATAAATGCGGCCCCTGACTGCAGTGGTGACTACAGTCCCAATCAATCCAGTACCACCTACTCCAATGGTCCTTTTGGCGCTCAGGTGGCTTCGAACATGAAATCAAACTCGCAGAACAACCAACGTGGCATCAAACGGGGTCTTGGAAGTGCAAGCCTGTATTTTGCACAAGACTGCTTTGGGCTCGGCCATGTTAAAATTTGGGCATCTTCAGCCCAGCCGCAAAAATACAAACAACATCCGCACCAGAGCATCGCGTGTGCTTCGTTTTTGCCTGTGGCCGCGGCGGCTGCGGGCTGGCGTCCGGGGCGACGTGCAGCAAGTTGTGACAAAATGTGACGCCTCGCTTTCAGATCGCAAATCGAAACGGGGGAACATAGTCCACACCGTGTAGCGACACCGGTCCTAAGGAAGTGTGATCGAAAGGTTCTCGGAGGCTCTCAGAACCGAAAACGGGCCATCTTGATAGTCAGGATCCTTCTGCTGTTCGCAACTGTGCCCTGTAGTTTGGCTTTCTTTTTGGTTTCCTCCAAACCTGGTCGGAACCCCGACTAAAACAGGACCCTCTGATCAAAATCAGCCATACCTCAAAACACCCTTGAAGCTTCCCGCAGGCCATGGGTACTGAGAATCAGCAATACAAACAAACAGTGGGTTTACACCTCCAAATGGGACATGCCCCCCCCACCAAACAAACAGAAAATGGGTGGGTTTCCCCTTTGATTTGGGTGTGTCCTTTTAGAGGGTACCCTATTTTTGGTATTAAAGGGAAACCAAAAAGAAAACCACAGTTCTTTGAGGGGTCCCCTAAAAAAGGACACACCCCTTTTCCATGTAAACCAACCCCCTTTTGTTCGGGTCTCCAAGTGCTCGTTGCCTGCCGTGGAAGAGCGCGCGCAGCGGGTGCCATCCGGCCCCCGGCTCAAGAGAAACCTGGCGGTCCAAATCTCCGAGAAACAAACACGTGTGTACAGGTGTCCTTTTTAGGTTAGTTTGGTCAAAAATAGAGGGTTTAGTCCAAAGGGCCATCTATTCTTCCAAAAGGCCACCTATGGAAACAAATCGAAGAACTCGGCCAAAGCGTTTGGTCTTCCATCATCTGATCAAAAGCGAGGGGCGTTTTTTTTTGTTGGACCTCCCTCATCAAGTTTTTGGTTCATGGGCAAAACCGGAAGGGGGTGATACTCCGGGCCTCCGGAAGGGCATCGCTGAGTCGCAAGGCTTCGAAAAAAGTTGCTTCTGGTGTCGGCAATCCGTTTGCTCCCGAGCTGTTTGTTTGGGTATTGAGCAAACCTTGCCGGTCTCTTTAGAAGGGCTCACCCAAAAACACCTACGCAAAAGGGCGCCTGGCCTCAGTCAAGTCAGTCAGGCTGGCTGATTGACGGCATCATGGTCTTCAACGGCCTTCGAGGTCACGTAGAATGAGCTCCCATCGACCTGTGTAGCAAATGGCCACAGAACTGACCCGGATTGAGTGGCGAGCCCTTGACCAAAGCGATGACGGAATCTTCAAAGGCAAAGCACAACACAAGTGGCCATCCTCGCCAAGTATTTTTCTACACTTCGTTTGTTCCCGGAGTCAATCCGCCCATCCTCCGCTTTGGGCGGTTACTGAACAAATAGAGCTTGGCAATACTATTGCCACTAAACTGGTCTTCCCCAAAAAGTTTATTAAAGTCCACACACTCAGGAGGCCTCTGCCTCAATCAGAACAAGTCCAACAACCGGTTTCCGGGACGAAGCTTGGCCCACATGGTACCCTGTCACAAGCAAGCATCCTTAGCGAGCAGCACCCCGAAACTTGACATTGATTTGACCAACTTGGTTAGACAAGTTCAGAGCCAGACTCCAATTAAACAAGATCAAGCATCTGCAATAAGCAAGTGCAAGCCCCACCGAGCAAGCTAGAGGTCGGCCCGCAAGGCTCAGACAGCCAAACAGCTCAGGGCTCTGTCTGCTGTACAGTCTGATTAAATTAAACAAGATAACACATTCCCTGAGGGGTCATTCAGCACCAAAGGACCTAAATATAGAACCTACCTGGATCCTTCCGGTTCGGATCCAAAGATCAAGGGACATTCGCAGCATTCGAATGCTCCGAGGCTCCCGCAAGTTGAGCAAGGCTTAGCAGGCCGCATCGGAGCATCCAGCCACGCAGGCTGCCACATGGCAAGCTGGAACTGGCAGTGGGGCATTGGGGGTGTTTCAAAAAGGAAACCACATGGAAAGGGCCTTGTTTGGGTGAGGGAACAGTTCGGGCTTCCCCACACAAATGCCATGAGCTCTGACCTGCTCTGGCTGTTTCCCTTTTTGCTCAGCAAGAAGAGTGCACCCAAGTTTCGCAAATGTGTGAAAGGGGTCGTAACCCAACCTTGCTCTGATAGGTCTGGATGCATGACTCATGGTCCTCTGACGCATGCGCGTCTCTGCGAAAGCCATCGGCCGGGTGACTTTGCTGAGCACGCTTGGTGTCCAGGTCAAGGGGCCTCGTATGAATCCAGTCGACCCGCCAATTAGTGCCGGAAACAAGCGATCATTGAGGAAGTGACCTTCACGGCTGATATCCCTCCTTTGACCCCGAAGCCGTCGAGCTGGCACTTCGGGCTCGGCCCCAAACGCCAGGATCACTTTCGCAAATCGGCGTTTGACCCGCGGTTCAAGTGAAAACACCAAACTCACCTTTGAGCCTCAGGTGCTACGTGCGACGGATGCGAACTCTATGGGCTCAAGGGTTTGCCGGCCCTCCAGCCATCTGGAGGGCCGTTTGCCGCACGGCCATCGCGGGATTTCCGTGCGGCTTGTGAATGTTTGTTTGGCAAAGCTGAATAATACGGGCGATGGTTGCACAGTTCTTGTCGGAGCCCAGGAAGGAAAGTACGTGTTGAAATGCAAACAGGCCCTCTCTTGGCTCATCTTGCCCGAGACAATACCACATCCATCGTTTGGCTCAGAAGACGCACACCGCCCACATCATTCTGGGCTAAGCCCAAATTGGGGACGCCACTGGCAAGGAGGTGCCCAGGGCACCAACGACTTGATCTTCACTAGTTGTCACATGGGTGGCTGGGCTCACATATTGTCCCTTGGGGTAGTTTTCTGGGCTATCAAGCTTGCTCCTGCAACGGGGTGACTGGGGGTGGCAACACTTCACTACAAGTGCCATCTCTTAAGGGTCAACAACGATACAACACTATGTGATTCAAGGCATCGCCATATGCCACAGTGAAAAAAACGGGTATCTGCGTACTTCTGTACAGTATATAGACTTACAGTACAGATATACATATATTTACATGCTTGCGTCAAGTTGGATTATGGAGTCGTTTTCGAAGTTTTCAGATTGGAGCTCTTAAGGTGTGCATTTCGGATTGATCCGATATAAACCTGCATTTCTTTCCGACCATACCGGAAGCAACCCCCAAAGACCAGAGACATATCCTACGAAAATTCTGTCTCTGGGATTGGATCCCCCGGCCACAGCAACTTTTTGGAGGAACGAGTCGTCTCCTAAAGCAACACTCAGAGTTCTGGATCTGCCAGAAGGCTATACTTATGGCAGCAGGTTAATCAAGTTTTTGTTCGACACTCCGTGAGGTGCCTGCGATTTTGCAGGAGACATAAAAGGTGGTTAGCCTGTCGTGCGTGTTCGTCTCACACCCGTCCCCAGGCCAAGAAGAAGACGTAGTTCCATCCGCATGTTTGGGAGCTTTCATGGAATCGCCCGAAGGAGGGTAGATCTGCGCAATCGATTCCTGAAGAGCTTACCGAAAGACGAAGCACAGGAGTCCGTTTGTGTGTCCCTCTTTAGTGGGTTTAACACAGTGCTTCAATTGGCTTGTTTTTGGGGACGAGCAAACCAGGGGATGACAATTTTCACTTTAACCAACGAGCAAACGAGCAAAAAGGAGTGTTCCGATCACCTGTCAGGTAATCGATTCATATGTAAAATGAGCTTCTCTTTGTAGGGATGCCCCTTTGTAACATGTACCACGGAAGCCCCAATGGCTCTGCGATTTAAACCAATGTTCTTGTTTGCTTAATCAGTTCCAATGTAGGTTTCTCGAAAAGATACAACAAACAACGGCCGTCTTCTTTTTTTTGGTACCGACAGTTGAAACAGAGTAGAGCGAAGGAGCCAGCTTCGGGTCAACATCGAAGCCAGCAATGGACCAAGTGTACTGCCGAAAGCTTCACAGTAGCCCTGACGTTGGCAATACGGGTCAGCATCCATCCTGGCCACGCAGACCAACCAAACAACGCATGTGCTTCAACCAAACCACCAAACATGACAACCAAACGACAACCGATCACATATCCAAACAAAGGTGGTCGAAAACAACAAAGAGGAAAACAAGCGGGAAACGCAAAATCGAAAGCATGACAGAGTCACAATCAACACCTGCTCAAGCAGTCCACCCAAGCCCAAGTACAGAACTAAAAGCCGCATCTATGTCTGGGAACTGTCCCCTGCTAAGCGTGTACCCGGGTTATGCCGCTATGCCTGTGGCTCAGGTTGTAAAATGTAAGGGACCTCTGTGGACCTGGACAAGCGGCGGCAAAGGTCATCCCTTGGTCCCAAAAGAGGTTTCCTGCATGTGACAACCAGGCACAGTACAAAAAAGTATTCCTTTTGGGGGGACCCCCATGCTTGTTGGGAAGAGTTCATACTTCCTGAATGGGTGTGATCCTCGTGAAGCACACAACCATAGGCGAGAGTCTTTCTCTTCTCCCGATGCCAGTGGCCCGACTGTTCCGCGCATTTTGGCATCACTAAGCAAAGGGCGGAGTGGGGGCAAAAGCCCAGCTGCGCCGCGCTGCAGTTTCCGGGGCGACCGATTCATGATCTGTAAATGAGTACACTTCACCATGTCAGTCATAGAAAAACCCATAGAACAACTGGACTCTCCGTACCAAACTCAAGAAACCACACGTCTTCACCAAGGCACACCTCCGGCGAGCGACAGGTCGCTTCCTTTCAGAACCGCTCCGCGAATCTACACCAGCTGCATGGACAAGCCCAGCTCGCAGGCTTTCGCCAGCTGGCTCCGCAACTGCTCCTCTCGGTGAGTTGCCGCCGGATTCCATGGATGCAGTGGATGGCTTTTTTGGTATTCAAAGGAACAGCCACCCGCCCAAAGCGTGTGGAACAGGCTTCTCAAGTTTCTTGATGCATCTTGATGGTTGCGAAATCCAGAGATCGCACCATGTTGAAACCGTGGTTGAAACTATAGCGATTCTTGGTTGTTTACAATAGAATCGGGAATCATTTCAGGGTTTCTTGGGTGGTGCGAAATGGATTTCGCAACCATCCACAGTAAGAAAGCATAACCTGCTTTTGCGGGCTGGATTTCAAATGAACAGCCACCCGCCCAAAGCGTGTGGAACAGGCTTCTTTTAAGGGAAAGGCGCTTTGGGCTTGGTGCATTGGGAACCCCTTGTTCTTGAGAGCAACAAAAACGGGAAACTCCCAATCCCCCCACCACTCCAGTTCCCAAAGAGCGAACCCCCCCAAAAAATCAAGCCAAACTGCTGGCGTTCCCTCTCTAAATGCCCAGGTTGTCCGGGTGGTTTCCCTCTGCTGGGGTCTTCCCAACGATCTTCCCGACCGAACTCAGATCCGCTTCCGATCGAGTCCTTGGAGCTGTAGTTGGGCAGCTGCAGCATGTTGCCGCAGGTCATGGCTCTCGGCAACACCTCGTCCTGGACGGGACGGGACAGAAGGAAAAAAAAACCAAGAGTCTTGGAAAATCATGCCAAACACGGGTGATCTGTGTTCTTATATTCAAGAATTGGACGTTGATGCCATTCATGATTTGGAGGCAGTAGTGAACATCAGAAGAGCCAAGCTTAAGTACGACTAAACTGGAAACACTGATTATGTATGTATACAGAATTATGTATATATATATATATGTATATTATACATGTGTAATGTACAAATAGACAAGGGCAATGAGAGCATATAATACAGTGACTTGGATCCAAACACAACACAGGCAAAAAAAATCAGGGGTCCGGATACAACCCACCAACAAGACTTAGCACCTTGGAATGGCAACCCAAGCATAGCGATGTTGATCCTTGCACAAAAAAACCCTGAGCTGTTGCAATTTGAAACTCCAGGAAGGAATCAGGATTACGTTGAACAGCCCAAGACTCAGCTGCCGTGGCTTGCGTGTTTGCGTGGCTTGCAAGAGCGACACAAACTGCTTCGTGGCAAGGGAGGGTCCTGAACGACGGCAACAACGCTCGTCCTTTCAAGCGGCAACTAAAGACAAATGCCAACGCTCTACCCAAAAGGAATGCAAAGATGCGTTGAAGGTTCTCATGAGCCAAATGAGTGTGTTTCCAGGCGGGCAGGCACAAAAACAGTCCAGTAGGTATCCATGGCAATGTTGGTCTTTACAAATTGCATTTAGTTGCCATGGAGAACAAAATGCACCAGTGGATGACGAGCCACAATTCGTTTCCTTGAACCCTTTCTTCACGAGTTTCGATCGACTCGTTTGCTGATGCCTTGACAAAACTTCTGTAGCGCGATGGGCAAACAGGGCCGTAAACCAGTTGGATTTTGCGTGGGCTTTCACCCCGCGTGTCCTCCCGTGACCAAACCAAAGTCATCGAAATTATGTATTGGGTATGTGCTAAGAACATTTGCTTGTTGATTTCTCAGACAAACACAAAGCTTGCGTGCTTGGCCATATGTTGGAGAAGCAGCCGCCTGTATGTCTCGTTCAGACAATCTGTAAACCCCAACCAAGCAGCTTGTGCTGACCACGTTGTATCACCTGTCTTTTGCACACTGCGGACCCGAGAGTCGCCAGTCATGTTGCATCCTATCCACCATGTGCAGCAAAGGAACAAGCACCTGAACAGGACCTCCAGGGTTCACTGGTCGCTCTTCTACAACCTGGTCTAGAACACGCATCTAAGTAACAACAGACACACAAAATCCGAAGAAATATCCAAATCACCTCAACCATAGCAAGAAACTTGCACCATGTCTTCTACAACCTGGTCTAGAAACGCATCTAAGTAACAACTCCGAACAAATATCCAAATCACCCCAACCACAGCAAGAAACAGGCACCATGTTTTCTACAACCTGGTCTAGAAACACATCCAAGTAACAAAACACATACATCCCCAAAAGAACCCAAATCACACCACCCATGGCAAGAAACAGGCCCATGTCTTCTACCACCTGGTCTAGAAACACATCCAAGTAAAACCCAAATCACGCCACCCGTAGCAAGAAACAGGCACCATGTCTTCTACAACCTGGTCTAGAACACGCATCTAAGTAACAACACGCACAAATCTCCGGGAAAGAATCCAAATCACCCCAACCACAGCAAGAAACAGGCACCATGTCTTCTAGAAACACACCCAAGTAACAAAACACATACATCTCCAAAAGAAAAACCCAAATCACACCACCCATGGCAAGAAACGGGCACCATGTCTTCTACAACCTGGTCTAGAAACACATCCAAGTAACAACACACATAAATCTCCGAGACAAAAATCCAAATCACGCCAACCGTAGCAAGAAACAGGCACCATGTCTTTTACAACCTGGTCTAGGAACACATCCAAGTAACAACGCGAATAAATCTCCCAACAAGTATCCACCCAGAGCAAGAAACAGGCAGCATGTCTTCTAGAACCTGGTCCAGCAACAAAGCATACCTAGATCCCCAGTTGCCTTTATTTTCCAGGGACGTTGACCAAATTATGGGCTACTAGTTGGTAAAGTGGCTGGAAAAGACTTTGACCAAATTCGCGTTGGCCCCGAGGGCCGGGAAGCGGTCAGACCCATTCAAAACCTCTTCACGATGGTCCTGCCTCCAGTCCGCCTAAAGTCCTGGCTCAGATCCCTTCAGGAAAGGGATCTCGTGCCCCTCTCAAACACCCGTAAACTCTGCCCCTCAAAGCGGATCCAGCTCCAGCCAATCTAGAAACCGGTCAAATCCCGGTCATCTAGAAACCCGCAAAAATCCCGCTAAAACCGGTCAAATTCCTCTCCAGAAACTAATCTAACCCTCCCGCCCAAAAAAAACACGTAGAAACCGATCAAACTCCCCTCTAGAAACCTGTCAAATCCCCTTTAAGACAGCTTCCAGAAACCGGCACAATTCCCCCCCCCCCCACCCCCCCAGAGCACGGTGTACACCTCAAAGCCAGCCAAAAGCGGACCGGCCGAGGCGGCAACGCGAAGCGTTTACAATTGTGGGCTACTAGTGGGTAAAGTGGCTGGACAAAAGTGGCCGTTCCCCGAGGCTCCGGGCCCCTCCGTCCATGGGCTCCACGTAGAAGGCGAAGGTTTTGGGGTCCGAGGGCCAGCGGTCGCTGCCTGCGGAGAGGAGCTGGCCGCCTTCCGGGTTTTGCAAAAAACACCCATGGCCACGTGGCTTTATCGTTTCTCAAAAGATCCGAGGCTGTTGATTTATGAAAAAAAAACCCTTTGTATATATGGGCATCTGGTTGTTTTTTCTCACAATTCCGAGGTTTGTTTTGGTTTAGGCAAAAACAAATGTACGCGTGAGACCTTCAAGATCACTTCCACTGAGTCTTTGTTCATAAGGGAGGCATGGCTAGGGCCATGCAGCTAGGGAGTTCGAACGCTCAGGAAAGCTCAGGGGGCAGCTTGAGGAAACTGTGGATCGCGACTTGTTTGGTTCAATGCCGTAAAGGATGATTGCGAAATCCAAAAAAAGCACCAGTTTAAAACCATAATGGAAACCATTGTTTACAGGGAAATCTTCATTCCAGGGTTTCTTAGGTGGTGCAGGACTTCGTCCATCCATAGTACGGGTGTGAGTTTGAATGGGAAAGGACCCTGTGGATGTCCACCAACCACTTTTCAAGGGGTAAAAGTCATTGCCAAGGAATCGGCCATTTCCTGAAATGGCAAGGCCTTGGGTCCTTTTGGTCTCCCTGGAAAAACCAAAAGAGGGCTCGCCAGTTTGAGAAACGTCCGATACCGATGAGCCAGAGCAAGCTGCAAGCCATACTGAAAACAAGAGTCATACGCGGTCAAAGTCTGCAACTACCTGAAAATTGCTTCACTTCCTGAGAGGAAGTGAGCCCAAACAAGTCCAAACTTCTCATTTTTACCACACAAATGGTATTCCCCTACGTGGAAATCCGACTGGGAGCTTATAGAGACCTTTACACCCCGTTTGTTTTTTAGATCATTTATAGGTGAGTCAAAATCAAATCCCGGACATATCCACACCGATTCTTATGTTTGGGTCTTCCTTGCTTCGCTTGGGGTTTTGATTATTGCTCGTATACATTCGGAGCCGGCTCCCTTGCGGTAGCGAGTGTTGGTGGCTCACTTCGAGCCCGTTCAGGACATCTTGCGGGGATCGGTCAAAAGGTCCTTTACATAGGATGACCATTGGGGTATATAAACCCAGGTATTTTGGCGACGACGATTTCCTTGAAGATCCTGGGGTATCAGTGTACACCCCACTGACCCGACCGGTTCCAAACGCAAACCCACCCGCCCGACCCGACTCGGCCTGTGGTAAACTTCAGAACCTTGGGCCGCCCGTTGGAAGGTTCCTCCGCCAGGATCTCGAAGAACCAGTCCGCCTGGGCCTTCCGAGCCTCGGCTCTGAGGTTTCAGCGCTTCTGGGATTCTGTTCCCAACAAATTGAAATGTGGGTCTGTTTGAGGGTACCCGCTTCTTCGGGGGTTTAAAGGGAGAAAAACGAAAACCACTTGTTTTGGGCGGGGGTCTGCCAAAACAAAGACATAGCCAAATTTGTACCCTTAAGCTTCTTGAAACACATTCCGCGACTTATCAGCTAAGACTGTGTCTTGAACACGTTCCTGGGTCCCCTTGTAATTTTCTCAACAAAAAATAGTACCAACAAAGTCAAACCCTTGCGTCTGCTCAGTAACACGACCTTTTGCGCAGTGATCATTTCAAGTGACCAGAGGTTGAAAGGTAGCTGAAACGGGCAAGTTCCGTTTGCAGTTTGGGTACAACCGTCTTTGTGTATCAAAATCCCTACCCGTATAGTCACCCTTCACAAATGAGTCAAAATAGGGGCCGTTTGAAGAGGTGCCTGTCCTTTTTGGCTTCCCTTTTGAACCAACGTAGCAAGTGTATCCTCATCAAACACTCACACTGCACACACAAAGAAACAACAAACGACGCCCAACTGCTGACGCAAACTGGGCTGTTGAAAATGAAGGCTTGGCCAATCCTTCTCCATAATCCCTATAGGGAAGCCACTACAAAGGGGACCCCTTGCGTAACCCAAGGTAAGGATTAAGGATTACGTTTGAACAGCCGAGGCAAAGATGCCAGGTTTCAGCACGCGCTGACTCAATGCCGGCCAAGGGGCTGGATTGATTGCAGCGCGCCTGGGGCCAATTGAAGCGAGCGGCAGCTGAGGGCCACCAACACACATTGGCCCATAAAGTTGTAGAAACCGGCGAAACCAGGAATTTCTGCAGGAAATTGGCCAAGCACCCACCAAAAACAAGGGATGTCATGTAGCGATGTAGCCTGCTTAATTCACAGGCATTCCCTTGTTTTTTGAACGAATCCATCACTCGGGGGGGGGGAAACACACACCTGCTAATTCATTGGGTTGGGTTTTTCCCGGGGTCGACATTCGTGGAAGCGGTATGTTGAAGCCAAGTTATTCTAAACCGAACGGGGAATGCCTCGTTCAAGCCCAAGCATGGCAACCATTATGGTTGCAAAAAACACAATCACCAACCAAACATAAGGGGAAATCCGCGACAAAAAGCACCATCTTCACTTTGGGTGACTTTGCAACCAGTTGCGTCGTGGTAATTTTGCAACCAGAATAGTGCCACGCTCCATTCGGGGGTTCCGTGAGACACTTCGGGCCGAGAAACACTACCAACTAGGAATTGCCCTTCCCCCCCCCCCCGGCGTGCGCGTTTCGAGGGCTAGGGTAGTGTTGCGGCTTGGGAATAAGTTGGAGAATGGCAAAACCAGTAGGTCCGATTGTCAGGTGATGCCCCTACTTGAAGAGGGGTAGCTTGAAGACGAGACAACAAGACCACATCTGCCTCAGCTATACTGCTCGAACACGTGGTTTCTTTCGCTCACCTGACACCCTCTTTTTGTGTGCGCAGTCTTGCAACAAATAGCACTTGAAAAATGCTCTTCTTCCACGATTCATTCAGGTATTCCAGGAGACCAACTCATTTTGACAGGTCCTTCGAGCAAGGCAAACGCAATGACAAGCAGTGCTGCACATGTCAAAAGGCGATGGCCGCTTTCGTGCAAAAGCAGCCACATGAGAAACTGAACATCCCCTTTGTCTACAAAGAGCATGGTTCCCGTGGAATGCATCTTGAAGGATTTCCCTGCAGATTTAAAGCTCCAGAACACCATCATGTTCAGAGGAATGTCATTGTGGGAGATGTTTGTTTGGGTTTTGTCTTGAATAGAGGTCCAACACCTGCTCGACCCTCAGAGCTTGCTGTCGCAACCCGCAAACCTGCGAAAGGTCGAGCCAGTGCCCATCGCTTCGCAGGCTGGGAGCTTTTGCGACCCCCAGAAAAAATCAAATGGTGCTTGATATGGGTATGGGTCAAAATTGATCCACCATGGGACCACAGGTTTAATCCATGTTTCCATTTACCAGGGTTCCTAGTTTGGGTACACATTTTTGACCCACCGCCATATGAGGCCTGACAAGGGGAAGTGCCATGGTCAGGAAAGGGAGCGGATCTTTGGTCATGTTGAATCGAAGACCAAGTGGAGCAACCACCCAGATTAGATGAAGCCATGGTGGGATGAGCAACCAACTGCGACATGAAAGGCTATACACATAGGAAAGGGAGTGCAAGCCTCGGGTGATTGAATCTCAGAAGAGAAGCCCCCTCCCCAAAATGTGGCTTGGTAACCACAAAAAAGGTAACACTGGAAAAAAACCAAGAACTGCAGCTGTTCACATTTTGCCCACCATAATTTGGTTTGGAAACCCAAGAAGAAGCAAATGACAATACTGGGCTGACCTTAATTGGAACCCCCCCCCCCCCCCAAAACCCCAGCCAAAACCCAAGACCCCCACCCAAACTCGCTAAAGCCCCACAAACCTAAGACCCCCCCCCAAACCCCAGCTAGAACCCCAAAAACCTAAGATACCGGACGATTCGCGACGAAAACCGCCAAGAACAGGAGAAGCACCGGGGACTGTTCTGTTGGCCAAAGGACTCTCGCCAAAGCTTCAAGTCCTCGTCCTTGATCAGGGCAAGCCCCGACCACTCCTTGCCGGGGAAAGTTTCACGGACTTGAGGCACAGTTCGATGCATCTCGAAGAACTTGGGCTTCGTCAAAAATAATATTCGATTTCTATGATCTTACCGTAGAACAAGATAGAAATTTCTGCAATTCTCAGTTCAATGCACTTGAAATAAGAATTGAATCCCCAAATACTTCGCTATGTGAGCTCGGCTACCCCGGATCGGTAAGCTCACCATAGGCAGGCTCATGTTCCACCACCCTACACTTGTGTGACGCCCTTCCGCTTTCCCTGGAAAACTCCCAGAGCATCCCGAAATTTGGCAACCCGCTTCCCCTTCCCGCAAAAGAATGCTTGTCTGCGTGGGTCTTCCGTAGGAGGGGCGCTTGAATGCTGTCTTACCTTTCCTGGGCTTTCCAATTCCCAGAGATCCGCATCTTCCCGCACTTTGTTCGTTTTTTTTGACCAATGGATCTGATCTAGGGGCTTCGCTGGACCTCAGTTCTGGAGAGGTCAGAAAAAGTACAGAGCTGTGTGTACCATTCAAACGATTAAAGGTTTCAAGAATGTTTCAAGTGAAAATGGCCAGAGAGAGAGAGAGAGAGAGAGAGAGAGAGAGAGAGAGAGAGAGAGAGACATCTACTGCCATGAAGTCGACAAGGACACGTCTCTTGTAACCAGCAAATGGGTGTGTCGGTTTTAAGGTTGGACCCCAACCAATCGGCTTCGATTCTCCTTCAAACACCACACAAAAGGGGGTACCAGCTAAAAAACAACAGACTCATTTATTTTGGGGAGGACACCGGGGGAGCTATCCATTTCTCAACAATTTGTACACTAACAGTTGGGAGCTGATCAATATTCCCTTCGGCCCCCAAATCACCATGGCTCACTTTTCCCATGGAAAGAGAAGCCAAATCCTTCTTGGCGGTTTCCCCAATGGTCACCCCATGTTCATCGGACCTTTGGATCAACCCCCATTTGGCTGCCTCTAGGACACAATTGGATACGCTTTTCGTTGGTTTAAAGGTACTCGGTCCTCCAGTAGAGAGGTTAGAATAAGTTGGTACCAATTCTTTTTTCTGTTTTGTATTTTAGTAATTAGGGGAACTAGAGTACAAAGGGAAACCGAGCCCTTGCTGGGAACGACTCGAGACGAGAAACAAAAAAAAAAAAAAAAAGCCGCCGCCTCTTGAAGCTCCGCGGCCGAGAGCAGCGCCAGGTACGCCGCGCCGCAGGTCTCCAGGACGCCCAGCCGGAAGCTCTCAGCCGCCTCCTCGAAGAGAAGCCCGAGAAACCGCTGACCCACAAAGGTCTGGCCCTTTTGGGGGAGATAGAGAAATGTCCTGTTGGTTTAGGGGGTGTCCTTGTTGGTGTAGGGGGGTTCCTTTTTGGTTTAGGGGGTTGACTTTTGGTTTAGGGGCTTCCAAAGAAAAGGGGCCGCCCTTCGCCTCACACATGAACTACATATCCCGTTTGATTGGCACTTATTTAAGGGGAAGCCAAAAGCCTTTAAATATGCAGCATGTTCAAGCATAGAGGGAAACATCCAACCATTGTAGGGTCCCGATTCCAAAATGCAACTCCCGAAAACCCCTACCCCTAAAAGGATTCCCCCTAAAACCACAAGCCAGTTGCCAAGGAACTCAGCCCATTTTGCTAGCTGAACGCGCCCATCGGAATCAGAGCGGCTTTTGCAGGGAATTTTGAGTTGCTGAAATCTGGCACTTTTCGGCGTCCGAAAACCCTCCCCACATCGCCTCTTCTTCAGGTCGAAGGGGACCTTCGCCGCAGAAAACCGGCGAAAACCCCGCCGCGGTCCTGCAGAGAGTCCACCAACTCACTCTTCAGCACGGCCCGCAGCCAGGACAGCTTTGTCTCCTTCGCACTGACTTGAGGCGTCTTGGTGGAAGCCTCGCTTGGAAGGGGAACCAACACAAACAAAAGCAGCCCCTGGAAGTGAATGGAAAGAGTTGGCGTTGCTTTTGGGATGCATGTTCATCTAGGGACTGAAACATCCGGCAGTAAAATAAGAAGAATCTTCATGTTCGAAGGGGTTGTTGATGTCAGCTGCCGATGCCAGTTCCACCCAAGCAGAACAGGATGATCATTCAAAGGTTTATCCACTGCAACACTCACAATGTTCAGTTGAATATGGCTATGCATTGAGCGAGCAAAAGGTGTACGACCGGATTGAAGCCCCATCCGCTTTGGTGTCTGCAAAATTGGCGCGTTCTCACTTTATCACCTGGGTGTTCCTCCCAAACAGGGACCTGTCTGTTGGGTCCTTTCGGTTTGATTCAGAAACTGCGCAAGGGGCGGGCTCCCAGTTCGTGGCAAGGGAAATGCCAGTTAGCCCAAGCGCTCGCGGCGGGAAGGGAATAGCTGCAAACAAGTGGTCAAGGAAGTAAGCCGTACATGTTCTAGGGGTTGATTTCCATCTGCTTACAGAAATATTGATAAAACCATAGAATATTCTAAATGTTGATTTCCGTTCAACCATCCTTCTTTTCAGACGCCAGCCGTTGTCACGAAGGTTTGCGGAGGTTTTCTAGAAAGAAGGATCCTTGAGAATTGTTGGAAGGTACAATAGAAAATTTGCTTTTGGGTTGCAATTCACCGGCGATTGAACTCATGAAATTCATGGATATGAAGGACTGGCGATCACCAGCTTGTAAATGAGAGCATATGAACAGTACATAGCTGGTGATGGCTAGAGATAGTTATTTTGATGACACCTTCATGTCCGTTCATCTGCGTGCCATCATAGTCTCCTTTATCTTCATCCCTTATCCGTCCCTTTCAACCACTGGGACACGCCTTCCCTCTTAGTCCCTCCTCTCGTTTAACTTGCTTGAAGACACACCTACGGGGATTGGGCATGTTTCCAAGGAGAACCACTCGTTTGACAGTCAAGTGAACGCCATGTCATGTGCACGGCCGATAAATATCCCAACGGTTGAGTTGACTCCCCAAGTAATTAATCAAGCCTGTCCGTGTCCTTGCTATCTATTTGCTCCGTTTCTGCAATTTTGACGTGCAAATCCTCAAAGTACATACCTACAAATTAGCGGAGAACCCAACAAGGGGGTCCACTTCTCAACAGAAGTCTCCTCTGAAGATAAGGCTTCTTTGGATCCATGCTAATTTGGACAGCGCTCCCTATGTTTCCCCTCAAAACATCACCCCCACCATGGGACACTCAGCCTTCATGAGCTAAAAAGGTGTTGAAAACCACCAAAAAGGAAATTTGGGACCCCCGTATTGGAGGGTAGCCCCCAAAGTCACTTCAATGCTTTGCCCCCCTTCCTCGGTGACCACGATGTCGCGGCCGCCGGGCGTAAGGTCTACAGTGCGCCCACCGACTTGTCGGCTAAAAGTCAGCTGTCCTGCCACTGTTCAGACTTCGAACATGTATTGAGCTAAGGACTTACATGGATAAACATTTTGTTATGCCTTGATCAGTGAATAAATGCAAGCCTCAAATGATTGAAGCCAATAGTTGAGGGTAGCCACATTTTCGCCAGGCAGCACACTTGTGCATCTTTGCTGTTTAAGTCTGAGCGAATAGATGAATGGCTCAAATGATTGAAGTCAATGGTTGTTTGCTAGAAAAAGATCGGAACAACCAAACAGGGGCGGGCCCCGGTGCTCCTGCGAAACCCGTAAGAACCCAAATGCACATGGATTTCTGGAGGCTGCCATTGAACTGGTGGTTGCCGTCCCAAGGGCTTGCTCATTTCAAGTGTTGGCACTGCCCAGTCACAGACATGGGACCCAGCTTGTTTTTTGGTTTTGGTGAATCACATTTTCTGTGTTACCCGGGTTGGGCGTTCACCTGGACAAGGTTGCAACTAATCAAAGGGCAAACCCTTTTCCTGCCAAAAACAAACGGAAGGCGGGTCCCAAAGGGGGCCATATGTTTGACAGCTCCCATCTTGGTAGGTCATGATAGGTCTTGGCAAGCGTTGGCGAAGCAGTAGCACAACTTGCCAGCATTGTTGCTTGAAATTGGCAACCCCCAAATTGTTGGTTTTCCCTTGCGCTTCCCTTTTTAAAGCACCCCAAACAAAGCATCGGTGAGAATATTGAATGTCATGCCCTTTTCCACATACCGTAAACATTGACCATAGCTCATATGATATAGAATGTGGAAAGGTGAATACCATTAGTAACTCACTTCCGATCGAGCGGATTGGCCCACAAAACGTCTAAACTTCTTAACCACTCCAAATCTTCGCCGCTAAGTGACTCTCAAGTCCAGGAACTCCACGGAGTGATGAGTCGACAAGTGCACTTTAGCTTTGGGAACCTGGCTAGGTTCTCCAGTAGAGAGCTTAGAATAAGTTGGTACCAATCTTTTCCTGTAGCCTCTTTTAGAAGGGAAACCCTCCCTCCCCCCAAAAAAGAAACGGTAGACAGGGCAGCCAGCTGGGGGACCTAGCACTGGGGACAACTCCAGAACCTCAAGCCCTGGGAACTCCAGGGAGGAGCCCACTGCATTTTAGCCCTGGGAATGGAACAACTCCTTTGGGGCTCACTGGGATAGGGTCGTACTTATAACTTGAGTTATAAGTTACTACAAGTGGACTTATAACGTGGGACAAGTGGACTTATAAGTTTGCTAAGTCCGAGGATAGTTATAAGTTACTTGTCTATGTTTAACTTAGATAGGCCCACTTATAAGTTCGAGCTAAGTTCCGGGTGCCGGGACTTAGAATGAACTTAGCTGGGACTTAGCTTTTTGGCACCATTTGAGGAAAACAGCCTTCGGTCATTCAGCGCTTGCGAAGCAATGTCCCAAACGCGTCTACCTCGCTGAGTCTACGTGTCTGCCTGCGTGCGAAAAAGCACGCGTGCGCTACCCCTGACATGTTGCGGACCACATCGCTGAACGAGAGAGAAAGCCTGACACCGGACTACGCGACGTACTGTCGCTCCCGGCTAGACCGCGCAGGGCGGAACACGGCGTAGCGGCGGCGGGGCCGCTTCCATGTTTGAAAAACACATCGCGGCAGGACCGCGCAGGACCATCGCGGCACCGCGCAGTGAGCCATCGCGGCAGGACCGCGCAGCGAGCCATCGCGGCAGGACCGCGCAGCGACCATCGCGGCAGGACCGCGCAGCGACCATCGCGGCAGGACCGCGCAGCGACCATCGCGGCAGGACCGCGCAACCACCATCGCGGCAGGACCGCGCAGCGACCATCGCGGCAGGACCGCGCAGTGAGCCATCGCGGCAGGACCGCGCAGTGAGCCATCGCGCATGCAGTTTACGCTGTTTGTTCGCGCTGCTTCGCACGCTTGGCTCGATGGAGCCGGAGCATTTTTTGCACTGATTGACTCGGTTTAATTTTGTTGTCCAATAATCGTTTCTATAGCGGTGTCTCCGCTGGCGGCCGGTCCGCCTTCATATAGTCGCATGGGGTGGTTTCTCCGCCGGCGGCCGGTCCGCCCATTTTGCTTTTCTCGTTTGATGATATATCATTGTAGCGGTGGTTCCGCTGGCGGCCGGTCCGCCAAGCTTTTTTTGCCACGTTCATTTTCATTTCGAGATGGCACTTGAAGCGGTTGTCCGCTGGCGGCTGGTCCGCCCAGGAATTGTTCGGCGTGATTTTTATTTCGAGATGGCACTTGAAGCGGTGGTCTGATGGCACCTTGCGATTTTTTGCATGTTTGGATTGTGAGTGCGCGGATGAAAGGCTGCAAGACTCAATCAAGGCTCCAGAATCCAGACTGCTGACTGCAAACTCCACACTCCAGACTGCAGACTCCAGACTGCAGACTCCAAACTGCAGACTCCAGACTGCAAACTCCAGACTCCAGACTGCAAACTCCAGACTGCAGACTCCAGACTGCAGACTCCAGACTGCAGAGTCCAGACTGCCAACTCCAGAATCCAGACTGCAGACTCGAGATTCCAGATTCCAGACACAATGACTCCTGGCTCCAGGATCCTGATCATTTTGTGGTGGAATTCGGCCACGGGGCCAAGTTAAGTTATGTTAAGTCGTGGTGACGCAACTGGGCCTCACGGGGAAAGTTTGGCAGTTAAGTTGATTGAGTTACAATAGGGACTCCACGGCTCCACACGACCCGCCCAGGTTAAGTTAAGTTAAGTTTTGTTAAGTTCGAAAAAACTGCACCGGCCTTTCCGGGCTTTGGGGCGGGGCTGTCTGGATGCTGGATTCTGGGGTCTGGACTGTGAATTCTGGAGTCAGGAGTCTGGATTCTGGAGTCAGGAGTCTGCAGTCTGGAGTCTGCAGTCTGGAGTCTGCAGAGTCTGCAGTCTGGAGTCTGGAGTCTGCAGTCTGGAGTCTGGAGTCTGGAGTCTGCAGTCTGTCTGTGGAGTTTGCATTCTGGAGCCTGGAGTCTGCAGTCTTGATTCTGGAGTTGGCAGTCTGGAGTCTGGAGTCTGCATCGGGAGTCTGGAGTTTGCAGTCTGGAGTCTGGAGTCTGCAGTCTGCAGTCTGGAGTCTGCAGTCTGGAGTCTGCAGTTTGGAGTCTGGAGTTTGCACTCTGGAGCCTGGAGTTTGCAGTCTGGAGTCTGCAGTCTGGAGTCTGGAGTTTGCAGTCTGAAGTCTGGAGTTCGCAGTCCGGAGTCTGCAGTTTGGAGTCTGCAGTCTGGAGTCTGCAGTCTGGAGTCTGCAGCCTGGAGTCTGCAGTCTGGAGTCTGCAGTCTGGAGTCTGGAGTTTGCAGTCTGGAGTCTGCAGTTTGGAGTCTGCAGTCTGGAGTCTGCAGTCTGGAGTGTCTGGAGTGTGGAGTTTGCAGTCAGCAGTCTGGATTCTGGAGCCTTGATTGAGTCTTGCAGCCTTTCATCCGCGCACTCACAATCCAAACATGCAAAAAATCGCAAGGTGCCATCAGACCACCGCTTCAAGTGCCATCTCGAAATAAAAATCACGCCGAACAATTCCTGGGCGGACCAGCCGCCAGCGGACAACCGCTTCAAGTGCCATCTCGAAATGAAAATGAACGTGGCAAAAAAAGCTTGGCGGACCGGCCGCCAGCGGAACCACCGCTACAATGATATATCATCAAACGAGAAAAGCAAAATGGGCGGACCGGCCGCCGGCGGAGAAACCACCCCATGCGACTATATGAAGGCGGACCGGCCGCCAGCGGAGACACCGCTATAGAAACGATTATTGGACAACAAAATTAAACCGAGTCAATCAGTGCAAAAAATGCTCCGGCTCCATCGAGCCAAGCGTGCGAAGCAGCGCGAACAAACAGCGTAAACTGCATGCGCGCGCGCCTGCCCTGCTGCGTTGAGTCACACGAAAATGTGTGATTTCCAGCGCGTAATGCTTCATCACTGCCATGCTTCAAAACGCATGTGTTTGCAAACTCAATGAACTTAGAATGAACTTAGCGGACTTAGAAAAACCTCTAAGTTCAAGATAAGTTACTTATAAGTCCAAGCTAAGTGCTAAGTCACTTATAACTCCAGCGTAAGTACGACCCTATCCCAGCACTGGCTGAGTGGATGGCCCAAAAAAGTCCAACCTATATATTTACCACTAAAACGGTCTTCCCAAAAAGATTAAAGTGCATGAGCTCAGGAAGTGAGGGGTGAAAGCCAGCCCTTTCAAGTGAGATGCCGCGACTGCGCAGGTCCACCGGAGCTGGGAATCGGAGCAGTAGTCCTTCTAGGCCCATGTCCCGGAGGGATGTGCTCAGGAAGGCCTTGGCCTAGGCTAAAAACAATGGGTTTCCAAGGGGAAAACCGCCCGAAATTGGGTTTCCTTTCAGAAGGGGTCGTCATGGGGGCTGAGTTTTTTCAGATTCCTGGGGGCTGAGTTTTTCAGATTCCTGGGGGCTAAGTTTTTTCAGCAAAAAAAACAACAAAACCAAACAAAATCAAAACACAAAACACAGCCCATCATCTGCATCTGCTAGTTCAGGGCCATGGGTCTGTTTTTTTGTTTTGTTTTTTTGTTGTTGTTTTTTGGCGCCGTTGCTCATAAACACCAAGAAAACCAAAAAAACAAAAAAACACAGCCCATCATCTGAAGACAATACTTTGTTGATGCTTTCTTATGCAAGCTTTCTTGATGCAAGACATCAAAAATGATGAGATGTGTACCAACAGAACATAAGCCTCTTCCAAGATATTCTGCAGGTAACTCCAGGTAACTGGAGATAATTTATCTCATCTCTCATTTCATCTTCTGCAGGTAACATCTCATCACAAGCAATTGCTTATGGCTTGTGTCTACTTGAATCTATTCTGAACAGCTTTACTGTTGCAAGAGCTCTTCAGCAACACGAATAGCTGCAGAGAATCGTATTCCAAAGCTCCTATTCCAAAGCTGAACAGCTTTATGCAAAGAATAATGGTATTTGCATCTGCAGATATCGTTGCAGGTGCTCATCTTTGCATCTTGTGCTTCTTGAGCTCAAGCAACTAGATTGAAGCTGTGCTCCAATTGCTCCAGCTCATTATGCGATAAATATGTTTGTGTTAGCTGTCTTTTCTCAAGAGCATGGGCAGAGCCCATGCGTACATTGAAATATTGAACATCCAACTGTGAAAAGAGCTGAGTCTTGCAGCTGAAAGCTGCATAGATCAGCGATAGCTTACCTTTCTTATGATTTCATATGCATGGCAAGCTGTGCTTGCCATACTTACGTGTTTCAGAATTGCAACACAACAATAATATTTGGCCCAAACATATCTGCTTGCAGATTGCTAAGCATACGTCTTCCAAAATATTGCATACGTATGCAACTTGTGTTGAAGATTTGTGCCAAACATACGTCTTCCAACAGTTAGCACCCTGAGGTTTATAAACTTGGCATGCGTAAGCATGCCAATTATCCAAAAATAAGCTACAGACACACGTTTGCTAAATATTTGTCCAACAATGATATTTGTGCAAAATAGTTCTCAACAGGCTGTCTTCTGTGTAGCTTGAAGCTAGCTCATTTTCCAGGTCTGGATGCATCTGAGTCTTCATTGGATCGAAAATGAATCTGTGCTTGCATGTCATCAGCCAAAAAAACAAAAAACGCACCCCAATAAATCTAAGAGGTCACGGGTATTGATCTTATATTTTTGGTATGTTTTAGTGTTTTTAACTCAGCCCCCAAGAATCTGACAAACTCAGCCCCCAGGAATCTGAAAAACTCAGCTCCCAGGAATCTGAAAAACTCAGCCCCCATGCCGACCGGCCCTCTTTCCTTTTGGATCTTCCTCCATCCAAAGGTACACCTTGGGTTTCCTGCTGGTTCTCTCTCTTTCAAAATCATTCAAAAAAGGGTATGTTCAGAAATGAACACACCCAAATTGATTCCAACGAGAAGGTGTGTGTGTGTGTGTGTTGTGTTGTGTTGTGTTGTGTTGTGTTGTGTTGTGTTGTGTTGTGTTGTGTGGTGTGGTGTGGTGTGGTGTGGTGTGGTGTGGTGTGGTGTGGTGTGGTGTGGGTGTGGTGTGGTGTGGTTGGGTGGTTGGGTGTGTGGGTGTGTGGGTGTGTGTGTGTGTGGGTGTGGGTGTGTGGGTGTGTGGGTGTGTGAGTGTGTGGGTGTGTGGGTGTGGGTGTGTGGGTGTGGGTGTGGGTGTGGGTGTGTGGGTGTGTGGGTGTGTGGGTGTGTGGGTGTGTGTGTGTGTGTGTGTGTCTGTGTGATGTGTGATGTGTGATGTGTTTTTGTGTTGGTGTGGGGGAAGGAGGAAGGGGGGTGGGGGGGGGGGGTACCCATTTTTTGTACTCCTTTTTTGGGGGTACTCGTTTCGGATCTGTTTTCGGTGGGCAACAGGTTGCGGTTTCCCAAGACATGGGGCCGTGCTTTTTTGGGGTGCACGATTTGGGATTGGTTGGTAGAAATTGGGAAACCCATTCTAGCTGCTTCCCTATTTAGAAACGAAGCAAAGGGAACCCTTTTGTTTGCTTGGTTTCAAAAGTGAGCCAAAAGGACAACAATGGACAATCAACAAGAAGTAATAGAGGCGCGGGTGCGGTGTGTGTGGGTGTATGTTTGGGGACTGCAAGCATGGTGGCTTTCGTTTTGGGTTCCCTTTAAAACCGTCCCAAAAAGCGAACAGGGGCTCAAAAAACACGTCCCCGGGAACAAACAGCAAGGCGGCAACAACAAAACTGGAACATCTCTAAACTGGAAACTAGAAGGCCCATTGCATTGACACTCTCAAAATGATACTGGGTGACGAGAAATTTATTAACCTTTCTGTTCAAGCTTCTGCTCTTTCCAAAGTCAGATGTTTTCGGTGGTCGTCGGTCTGGATGGAAGGATTTCTGGGTTCAGAACGAAAGTTCCCTTTAGATTAATGGACCACCCTTCAACATGGTGAAACGACCCAAGGGTTCGCTTTTGTGCACCCAGCAAAAATCGAATCTGCAGTCGATTTCCATGGGCAGAAAAGGACTTCTGTTCTGTTGGCGGTTGACTTTGAATTGAAGGAAAACCCAACCAAGAAAAAGTTGAAACAAGGGAATGTGGTCCATCCAGAACATTTCCTTTGCTATTCGTAGTTCAAACGGAAGTACCCCAAACATGCATTTTGAGAAGCCCTAAAGAATGCAGCCTTCCTGTTCAACCCGAAAATCAAGAAGCAAACACACCCAACTGGGTGTTTCTGAAAAAATCTCGGCGAACCCCAAACTGGGGTCGTTTCCTTGGGGTCGTTTCCTCTTGGCTTCCCTTTGGCACCCCATTTTGGGGTCACAATCTAGCAAGCATTTCTCAAATAGGGGAACCCCAAACGGCCCCAAACTGGGTCGTTTCCTTTTCTTGATTGACGTTGAAAGGGGAGCAAAAATGTAAATTTTAGAAGTTAAGTGGGGATTCCCACTAAACCACAATAAGCAAAAATGTAAAATCTTTCCCAACGACAACCATGTTTGGCTCCCCTTTGGAACCCCAAATTGGGAGCTTCAGCGTGAACCTCCGGGTCCGAAGCCCTCGACTCGACTCGATGTTTCGACCCCAAGCGGCGCCCCGAAAGTCCGGCGCGCTCTCGTGCTGCTCCGCGTTGAGCTCCGCCTAGGTCGACTAAAAGTTTTTGTCGCCCGGTTTATTGGGAGTGGAAACAACAAGGAGGGAAGGTGTCAAACCAGGGGGACCCGCCAAAAATAAATGGATAAAATGGTATTCTGCTTGGGGTCGCCCATTTTGTTTGCTGATGCGACTGACAGGGAATGAGACATGGAATGAACCTGGGGATTCCCTGAAAGGAAACCATGCAAGATGGTTTATAGGGGTCATTCCCTCATTCCCTACTGAGCACCAGCAAGCTTTGTTTGGATCCGTGGAAACAACAAACGGGAGGGTGTCAAACCATGGGGAACCCCAAACATTTGTTTTGTTCTGCTTGGGGTTTCCCTTTAGGCCTTCAACATGAAAAGGGTACCTTCAACAACATCACAAACAAAACTCGTGTTTGCGGTTTTGAGAATGAACCGAAATGGGATGCGCTCAAATAAAATAAGGATCATTCAGTTTGGAGTCGTTCCCTCATTCCCTTCTGAGAACCTCCAAAGAGAATCCCAAACTCCCTTCCCACAAAAAACAAGCTAGACACAGGCTAACCTGTTGGAACCATCACTAAAACCACAAATAACACCGTTCTGGCGGCAAAAAACCGAGGCGGTTTTGGGAGCCATTCTCATGCTTTTTTTTTCAGCGCTGGCTCTCGCCTGCAGGTCTTCCAAGGTCTCAGGGGCGTCCGCCTGGATCGATCGATGTCAAGGATTCTGAGAACTTGGCTGGGGGGCAAGGGGTCACTGGAGTGGTTCTCCAAGGCGCGGCGTCTCAATAATGTTGACCCCGGATTAATAAACCCCTGTTTATTAATATGGGGTGTTCCCCTCCAAAGTGATGAATCCCCACTATAACCAGGGACACCCCCATACTTATAAACAGGGTTTTATTAATCCGGGGTCAACAGTAGGAAATATATCAGAGCTGGTGCAGCAGCACCAGCAACTGAAATCGGGGGCAATGTTGGTCTCGCCCGTCCTGCAAGTGCCTGAGGCTATTCTGTTTTGTTGCATGCTGTGCACCGTGAGAAGTATGCAAATTACACATCAAAACAAGCAAAACACGTGTTTGGGCGGCGAGCGAAAAACAACGCACGTCTTAGGTTTGTACTTCCCCCAAGGCTATGAAAGCAATCCAAGGGTGGGTTGCTCTCAGCATTCGCTGAGACCACCTAGCGGCCGCGATTCTCTCAGCAGGTTGACTATGGCTGTGGAACCCACAAAAAGGCTTTGGGCATGCGTCAACAACCCGACAATCTCAGTGTTCCTTTAAACCAACATTTGAAAAGGTACCCTCCCTTCCACTAACATGGCTTCTGACAAAGGGCCCCTTAGAGAGTAAATTGATCTTCCAGGTACCCTCCCACAGGTACCATTAGTTGGAGGAAGGGGAATTAACCTCAAAAAACTTCAAAAACTCCACACACGCAGATTTGCAGGATGCACACAACTGGGTCTTTTGACGACTCCCAAACCCAAGAAATCCATCCCCCCTCGCCTGCACGCAGCGAAGAAAGGGCCGCGCCAGCGGCGCGCCCAGCAGCAGCTTTTGCTGCACCACCGCTGCGCCCTCCTCGCCTCCGAAAAAGCGGGCGACCGGGGGAAGGACGATCCTAGTTTGGGGAACTAAAATGGCTTGAGGAAGCCCATTTTCCGGAAAATGGGCTTCCTCCAGACATGTTCCCACAAAAGAGTCAATTTTCCTCTAAAAATGGCTTGCTTCCTTTTGGCTCCTCTTTAAAACCATCCAACCAATTTGAGAACCCCCCCCCGCCCGCAAGCCCGCTCCCCGCCTTCCGTGACCGCCGCCAGCAGCTCTTGCAGGGTTGCCTGGAAGAAGACCACTTTTTTGGCCCATGGGCAGAAAGGGCACCCTTTTTCTTGCAATCCCCGCATATCCCCGCTCCAAAAAGCCAGGTCCTCCAGCAGAGAGGTTAGAATAAGTTGGTACCAACTTTGTTCTGTAGTCTATTTTAGTAGGGGAACCCTCCACCCAAAAACGGGAAAGGGGCACTGCTGGTGGACCTAGAAAACGTACTGCTGCATGTCGGCACTACCCCGCTGTGGTTTGACCACTTTGCAGTCTCGGAAGAAAGCATGCTGGAGATTGCCGGGAAACCGCATTACTCGACTGCGGCCACTTGCTAGCGCCACAAATGTGCAAATTGAATCTGCTTCCTGTACCGGATCCACGAGCAACCTGGAACAAAGCTCCAAATCAGCCACGTTCATTTAAGAAATCATCCCCTCCCTTTCCTTTCCCTGTCTCTCCTGGCTTCCTTAGCTTCCTTTTAGCCAGCACACTGGCCCACAAGCCAGGTTTTCCCTACTGAGCACCAGCAAGGTTGTCGGGTTGCCTTGGTAAGACACAGAAACTAGCAACCTAAAACCCAATGATAAGAGGAGGGGGTGTCACAAATACCTTCTTTTTTGGGTCTTGCCGCCCTGTGCCTCCTTTTCAAGAGGATACCAAAAATGGACAGATGATTCTATGTCCCCCCCCCTTAAACCATGTATCTGAAGTTCATGCCCAGTCGCGTTCTCGCGCACCCGCTGCTCTTGAGCGGCGTTCTCGGCCTAGCCGTGCGAAGACTCCCGGGAAAAATCCGCTTCCCTCGTGCCAACGGATTTGGAGCCCGGAGTTTGGTGAAATGTGGTAAACCCCACTTACCCTCCACAAGAACTTGGGGTTCGAATCCCCGAACCAACCATCCAAGCCACCACTTGTGGGCAACTTGTTAGGAAACAAAACAGGCAAAACAAGATGATGCTCTCAGGTTTGGTCATTTTGAAGTTCGGAGCAACCCCTCCAAAATGGTATCTGCATGCTAGTTTCCTTTCAACATCGTCAAGGTGCTGGCTGCACTCTGGGCACACCCTCACAGGTTGCTCTGCCTAGGGCTTACGCCTGTTGCTTGGGTTACTGGGTTATACTTTGAGCACCACGCGGCAGAAAAATGTATGGACAGTGCCCCTTCTGCTGCTTGGTTTCAATTGAAACACCAATAAGCCCGCAAATAGGGGTCAATATGTCTCCCACCCAACAGACCACACAAGTTGAAAAACCCTCAAATGAGAATGACGTACTTTGATCCTTCCATCTCTGTAATACCAGAGGCAGTCCATTCAAACAGGCATCCCGAATTCACCTGAAATCACGGCAAACTGCCCTAAACTCAATTGTCCACAACCATGACGGTATGTAGCTCACGCTTTCCACTCCCGCCCTGTTGATTACGTGACACTGTCCACTATCCAGCTCCCCAACCATCTGCAAATCTTACAATTCCAAACCTGAATAAAGGGATCGCATCATGGGTTTTCGCTCATTTTGCTCCGGAAGCGGGGTAGTTTGCAACATAAATCGGCAGACCCATGATCGCCTGAAACCGAATTTTCCACAGGCAGCCCCAAAAAGGGGCTTCCTCAAAGCTCTACAGTACTTGTAGTATAAGTTGCAGCAGCAAAAGCAATGAGACGTAGGTGGCAGTTTAGTGATTCATCGGGCTGGAGAGTATAAACAAAACTCCGTTGCTTCCTGCTCCCCTGCCCAAAAGTTTAACTTTTGGTGGCTTAATGGAAAACCCATTAGTTGGCAAAAAGTTGAAGTCCTAACATCCAAGCAACATGGGTCATTGTTGAGTGCTTGCCCACTTTGGGGACTTGCAACCGAGTCTTTGGTGGGTTGTAGCCACGGTCACTAACTATTTGCCTGGCGTGCCCTGCCAAGCACAAATGGCTTTGCAGAATTTCGGTTGAGGAATCCATTGGACCATACGGCCCAGTGAAGACCAAAAAGTAAAGACCAAGCCCGGGCTGTCCTCAGATCCCCAGAAAACCAAACCTGGGCTAAAAATACGGAGACCCAAGCACTGAACCAACTAAACAGCTAAACCAAAAGCCAAGTTGAACCGCATGGCCCGGCGTTCGCCTCCAGGAAACCCGAGGTCCTCCAGAGGTTAGAACAAGTTGGTACCAGCTTCTTCTTTCTGTAGTCTATTTTGGTAGGGGAACCAACCCTCCCAACCAAAAACGAAATGGTGAGAGGTCGGGCAGCTAGCCGTCGGCGCCTGGCATAGCGCCAGGCCGCAGACGCGGCCGCAGCCGCGCAGCGAGCTGGCACACTCCGCCGGCAGGAGGGACCCAGCGGCCGTGAGCTGCCAGACCTCAGCGCTCAACCTCTCGAGGGGGGGGGGGGGCTTCCGACCAAAGGGACGCTGCGACTGCGGTTGCTGCAACCTTGGGTACTTTTTACATATAGACATGCTCACTCTCATCACCCCTTTTGTCTTTTTGGGGGTTGGCTACACACACACGCATTCTTCCTAAAAACCAGAAACACTTTCTGAGTGGGTATCTACTTACCCTACCTTCTAAGCAAACCTTCTCCCCAATAAAGGTCGCCAACTTGAATTAGAGGGTCTCTTTTTTTCCTCCTGCCTACCTTTTGGCTGGCTATATACGTCATTTGCTCTGTCTCGAATTAATTAACGAATTAATTAACAAGGGTTCCGTTTTTGAAAGTTTCTTTTCTTCAAGCAGTCCAGGGTGCTGAAAGCCGAACTCGCCCCCGTCTCATAAACATGTTGTTTCCCCACGCTTTCGTTTTCGTTGTGCGGAGAACCTCTACTGTTATTGCTATATAGTATTATCATTATTACGGGAACTACCCCCAATAAGAAACGAGGCAGGCAACCATGTTCTGATTCTGCTATTTAGTGAATCCTTCGACGGTCCAATACTTTCAACCCCCCCAACTTGCCTGCCTTTTCCCATGTCCGAAATCCTTGTGGAACTGGCCAAAAAGCAGTGGTTTGAGGGGTTGCTGGCAGATTGCAAGTGTGTGTGTGTGTGTGTTGTGTTTAGGGGACCCCCGAAATGACGCCTTTCCTTTTGGTTCCCCTTTAAACATCAATGAAAAGGGGTTCCCCCCCCAAAAAAAAACAAATGAAAGGGTGTGTCTTTCTTATGAGACCCCCCAAAACAACTCAAAGGGGATTCCCAACAAAAACACGGACCCACAAAGCGGCTTGGTAGTGGGGGTCTTGGGGGTGCATGGCGCGCTCGCGCGCTCGCCTCCGTCTGCTCCGCGCAGGCGCGCCCGAAGTCGTTGAAGAACTCCCGGCGCGGGCCCCCGGCATCCTCCGCCGCCTGAAGCAAAGGGAGGCGGCGCGCGGCACGTGGCAGGCGGAGACGAAGCGAGGCTGCTCAAAACGGCTGGCGGAAGGACGGAAGGAAGGAAGGAAGGAAGGAAGGAAGGAAGGAAGGAAGGAAGGAAGGAAGGAAGGAAGGAAGGAAGGAAGGAAGGAAGGAAGGAAGGAAGGAAGGAGAGAAGGAGGGAAGGAGGGAAGGAAGGAAGGAAGGAAGGAAGGAAGGAAGGAAGGAAGGAAGGAAGGAAGGAAGGAAGGAAGGAAAAACAAAAGAAAGAAAAGAGAAAAAAGAAAGAAAGAAAGAACAATAAAGCAAGACAGAAATAATGAAAGAAAAACGCAAACAAACTTACGACAAAGCAGCAACACAGAAATACAACATAGAGAGAGGAACAAACCAAACAAGACCAGACCAGAAGAACCAAACAAACTTCACACACAGACAGGAAAACAAACAAGTAACATTTGACACCACAAACCAAACAAACACGCCTGGGCTTGGCTGTTGTGCTGACTTTTACGATAAAAGGATTGCCAGCTCAAATCTACAGTGCTTGCACAACCTTCCCTGGGCAAGTGATTACTTTCCTGTGGAAGCACCTCATGTCACTTTCATTCAACATCGGCAGCTTGAAGACAAACCATCATGCCGCCAAACTTAGAAGAGGTCCCTTGCTTTGACACGTGTGCGTGTCAGCAAGTGAACTATTTCCAAATAATTTGGGTTTACCCCGACAAAATGGTGACCTGTGCGGGCCGAAGTCTGGGCACCCTGCGGAAAACCTTTGCAATGGTTGTCGATACACTGGCGCCATTCCGAGACGAAAGAAATCAATCTACGGATTGATCAATATTCCGTTCAGCCCCAAAATGACCATGGGCCACTTTTCCCATTTAGCAGTTTTCCCTAATTTGCTCACCCCATGTAAAGGACCTTTTGGTCAACCCCCAGAAACGCAACCAGCAGACCACCCCGGGCCGTTTTGCAACCCTTGCGGTCTGGTCAAGAATTGCGAGTTGGGCGCTAGCCACTTGTGGGTGGCCTTCAAGGGAAGCCAAGAGGAAAACTCCACCCCCCTCCAAGTTTAGGGGTCCCGAAAAAAGAGACACCCCCAGGTATGGTCCATTTGGAAGGGACGAGAAGGGGTGAGCCCCAAACTTCGCAAGGCGGGGGGACGGGGACCCACTCAAGCTTCGCAAACAAGGACCGCTGCGCCACCCAACGACTGCACATGAATGGAGATGCTCAACTCTTTGCCAGCCTTTCACCGCTATGCTCGACCCAACCCGAAGTGGTGAAACAAAAACGATAAACTCTCTTGCTTGGTCTGCATTCCAAAAAAAGAAGCTCTCTTTTTGTTAAGGTCTTGGCTGCTTTCAAAGGGACGGAACCTCCCCAAGGCCATGAAGAACTGGCAGCGCCCTACCACAGCGGCGCCCCGGCGCCCCACCGCCCGCGGCCTCGTTGGCGAAGGTCACCTGCAGCGGCCTCCGCAGCTCCTCTGCCGAGGCGCTGGCCTCGAATCGGTCGAGGAGCTCTTCAGGCGCGGTGCTGGACCGCTGGACCGCTGGACCGCTGGACCGCTGGACCCTGAAAAAAGTGACACCCAGAAAGAATGGAACCCCCAAAAAATGGAACCCCAAAAAAATGGAACCCCCAAAACTGGAACTCCCCATGAGACAAAATGGGATTCTCCGAGCCTGCGAAAAGAAGGCGTCTGGTGGACAGGGTCCCAGAGGGGGGAGGTGGATTTTCCTGGAGCAGGATGCAGGAAATACACCTCGCCCCCCCCCCCCCGATTTCCACACCCGATTCCCCCGCCCTTTCAAATGGAAAGGAGGGGGGGGGGAGTGTTTTTATCTGTAGAAAATGCTACAATCGGAACCCGCCCCCCCCTCTCCAGGTCTGCAAGAGCAATCGAAAAATGAAGGGGGTAGCCCCCTGACACGAAATTGGAAAAAGCACCTCCCCCAGGTGTTGTTTTTTTTCCAATTTCCACTGGGACCTCCCCAAAGCGTGATTCCACGCCGCACCCCGCCCAAGCCGGAAAAAAATGAATGGAACAATTCCAACACCTACCTCCCGCTCCCCCTCAAATTCCATTTTCGAGGGGGTGGGGGTACCATAACAGGCATCCAGGGGTGCAACACATCAACACATTGGACAGGGAAATTGAAGGGAAGACAATTTGATCCGCAAAGAAAACCATGCTATAGTTGAACTTCTCTCACCTAAGTTTATTCGCCAAAAGCAATGCAAGCAAAAGCGCTTCCCACTGGTTTCCCTGACACATGTCAGGTCACATCATGTTCCGAACTGGAAATTCGGGTTTGGGATTCTATAGGTGCCCTTTTGGACGAAAAACGATGGGTTTCACTGGAAAACGAAGTTGGTTGACGGCCCAGTGCTTTTTGGCTGTGGGTCAAAACCAATGGTACCCCTGGTGAACATCAAAATAGGGGGCAAATGGATGTTCATCCACCCCAAAATGGGATCGCCATAGGTGATGCAACCCATGGCCTTTTTACTGACACTCCCACAGCCCCGGGCTTCCGATCGATCGTTCGGCTGAGCTTCTATCTGGGAGATCGCAGAGTCGAAGAGCTCAGCCCTCTCCACCCGCAAAGGAAACTGGATCACGGACCCGTCCTTCGCAAAAAAAAAGCCGGAACATATCCAGTCCGTTCTTCGCTCAAGAACATTTCCCGAAAATTCAGTCTGAAAACTTAACCCCTCCAAGAAACATTATTGGAATGAAAGTCAAAGCCATGCGTAGTCACGAAGAACCAACGTCTACAAAGAAACACCGGTATAGAAATCTAACTACCGTATTGATAAGTTCTAAGTACTGGTGTTCAGATTTCAAGAGTACCATCCATGGATCCAAGATTATTCCCAAAAGTCCCTTAGCAATCTTGGATCATGGATCCAGGATCTAATTTCCGGTATTTAAATCTCTGGTATCCCTCCTCACTCCCGAGTGACCGTGGCCTTTTTTTGTGTCACTTCTTTGTCCAAAATTCCCGAAAAAACCAGTGGCTAACATACAAAGAGAAATGGGGGCTTTCCCTTCGGCCCCCAACAAAAAAATATCGCGGCGTCCCATCCGGCTTCCCTCGGCCTTTGGGATCCTTCAAGAAGAAGCACTCTTCGGATTCCGGCCCAAACTGGAAGAACCTGTTTGTTGATAAACGAAACCCGGCACCTCTACTCGGCTGCTGTCTGCTCCCTTAAGAGTGTAACTTTCAGTGTTTCTAATTCGGAAAACCCCATGAGTTGGCAAAAAGTTAAAGTCCTAACATCCGTTGGCAAAATGCAACAAAGTCTTTGAAACCCGGGCACCGGGCCATGGGTCAAAATCCAAATCGTACCCCCAGCATCCCAATCCCCACTAAAATAGGCTCTAAAATGGGTGGTGCATTCGCCTACCCCAAAATGGGATCCCAAAACGGTTTTGACAACCACAGCCACCGGGGAGGGGAGGTGCCACAGGTTTCACCACGCTTTCGCCGGCCTCCGCCTTCTGCGGCGCGCTCAGCGGCGTGCACGCGGCACAGTGCTCCAGGCGCGCCTGTCGCGTCTCCGCGGCGCCTGAGGACGGCGAAGGCTCAAAATAGGAGCACGTAGACCCCAGGAAGGATTTCCCGTTTTCCCTTTGGCTCTCAAAATAACATATATATATATATATATATATGTATGTGTTCTCGAAATAAGGATTTGGAGCCCACGTGTGATAGGCCCCCGCCATGGATTGACAGTGGATCAACTATTGAATATGTATGTATGTATATATATATATATATACACACTTATATGTCAATCCAGAAAATGCCCAAACATGTTTGTTGGCTTCCCTTTCAAGCAACCAATTAAAGGGTACCACAAAAGACAAGGCAGACCCACACCAATCCGCCCAAAATGGGGGCACTCCTTTCATAGGAAAACTTGTCTCATAGGGGAATCCCTTGGAGGTTGTAAGGTAACCGCCATACATTGTTTCCGGAGGATCATGTAGCTTCTAGGTACCGAATGGCCCCTCAATGACCTCCGGATTGATACACCAATAGGTTGCACTGCATTCAACTCATTGGTTCTGGGGGCTACGGCCCCTCTAGGCGGGGATGAATAATTATACCCATCCCAAGTTGCCAAGAAACAAACAACCTAAGGAACCGGATGGCTCGGAACCAGCAAGACTTGTTGGTTTCTGAGGGCTACAGCATTTTTCATACATGACTCAGGGGGCTGATCCTACACCAATAGTGTTGCACTATCGGGGGAGCCGCCCCTCCGGGTGATGCATTTACCGATCAATTTTCAAGCATCCATTTGCTTAAGTCCCATGGAAAAAATATATCCCCTTTAAACCTAACAGGGGAAACCAAACATATTCTGGAAAATAAAACATGTTTCATTGTCCCCAAAATAATAATAATAAATAAAACACATATTTCCAGTAGAAATTCCCTTTATGCCCAGTAGTGTTTTATTCGAAGGGGAAAAACAAAAACACACACACACATACATATTCCGCCGACGCAGACTTCCGCCGCGCGCGCTCGCGCCTGGGGGCCAAAGCACGGCGAAGCACTTCCGCGCGTTTTGGAGCTCCGTGGCGTCCATCTGCTTGGCCTTGGCCTGCAGCAAGGCCTCGGGTGGGGCACCCTCTCTCCCGCCCAACCCCCCCACTCTCCCGGCAAGCACGGCAACCAAATAATATATATATATATACATATATATATATATTTGTATATATATATATATACATACATAAACTTTATATGTATATATACTGGGCTGTCCGTTTTCAGATCCCTGCTACTTTAAAAGTGACGAACTTGTGGGTCAAATGGAACCCCCGCTGAACCCGAAAACCTAAAAACCTGAGAGGATGGCTGGGAACCACCAAGTATAGTCATCGTCGGGGTTCTCGTCCCCATGCCCTTCATCCCTTCTGTGTCGAACTCCGAGTGGTTTTGCCCCTTCTGAATTGACTTGTCGAGACTTGACTTCATTGAAACTTGAGATGACTTCACAGTACCTGCATTGACTTCACTTGACTTAAAGCACCCGCCCCACCCCAACAAACAAACATAACGTGGATCAAATAAGACGAGGGCTTGATGCGGCTGCCTACAAAGGCACAGTTCGCCTTTACCAGTTGGAGAGATGTCTTGCCAACCGAGCATTGGCTTTTGGGACTCTGACAGTATACCATTGAGAAAATGAGTGTGGCGTCTTGGAGGACCACTTTTTGGTTGCTTGTAAGGGGCATCCAATCATTGTCAATTCGGGGGTCCCCTAATTATGAAGCACGCACAAACAAGCATTGTCTGTTCTGCTCAGGTTTTCCAGTAGCAGTTATCGGTGCCTTACAAGCTCACGGCTGCTATTCAGCTTCCTCTTAGTTGGTGGCTCCAAGTTTGGTGGTTGAGGAAGGGTTTTCCCAGTTGCTCTCTACAAGGACCAGGGTTCAAATCCCCAAACCACCAATCCAAACCAATTGGGGGTTCCCTGGCTTGTGAATGTTCAAACCCGCGTCTAAGAAAAACAACAAGTCCCAGCCAACGTTTGGAATGTATCAAACACGACCACACGCATTCGTTAAGACAACGGGATCCTCAGTGCCCTTTTGCAGCAAGTGCAACATCAAACAAAGACTGTCCAAGGATCTTCTAAGCATGTACCTAGACCCCTCCCCCCCAACAAAAAACAAACAAACAAAAAGCAAACAACAACTCCAGAGGTATCTCCCCCCCGGGAAAAAAAACAACTCCAGAAGTATGCCCCCTAAGAAAACAAACAAACAAACAAACAAACAAACAAACAAACAAACAAACAAACAAACAAACAAACAACAAGAAACAAACCAACAACTCCAGAGGTATCAAGAAATCCTGGGAGTCCTGGGACCGAAAACCAGTGACATCCATCCCCATCCAAACGGATCAAGGACCAGTGAGCTCGCCTTGGCAGAGTCCAGAAGGAAACCGTAGTTGTCCTGTAAGGTCCTTGCGCGACTGTTGATACATCCAAAAAATGGCCCATACTATGTATACGCGTATATATGTATATACATATTAGTATATGTACATATATATATATATACATATTACAATTGAACCAATGTATATATATATATATATATATGTTACAGGTGAACCAATGCGGAAAAAAACAACAACATGGTAAGTTACCACAAGTTGGAGGGTTTCACCATGTTGCCTTGGACATGTTCAACACATCCATGTTAGCACCAACATCACACCCGCACGACAAATCGGCTGTCTCCGTATCGATATTCCAGGCGGGTTGAAATGTGTGCCCAAGGGAGTGTCCTGAACAGGAAGTGGCAATCAATTCCTTTCATTTTGAGCCCTCACCGTATCCCTTTCTGATCCTGAAAACCACAGGGGAGCGTCGTCAAAACAACCTGTCTTGCTTCATCTCCCCACGGACGGCTTCCCAAACAGGCGCAAAAATGCCAAATTGGGCTGATGCCCCATCACTCTTTTTCGCCGGCCATCAGGTGTGTGATTTTCTAAAACACTTGGCTCCCTGAGTTCTGAATTCGGAGTCCCTAGACCTTCTTGCCTCCATTTGGGTCGGTCTGTTTTAGGTTTCACCCCCCCCAAAAAAAAATGTGGCTTTCCTCTTGGTTTCCCGTTCCCTTTAGGCCACCAACAAAGGGGTACCCTCGAAAGAGACACCCATTTGGCTTCCCAACACGGGACCCATCAGTGTCACGCCGGGAACCCCCAAATGAAATCCACCCATTGGAATGCTCGAGTTAGCAATCGGTCCTCTTGCAGGAGAGGACCCCCAAAAGAGCTCCGAAGCTGGCCCTTAGTGCGCGCAGGTCTGCCACCATCTCTTCCCAAGTGTCCTCGCGGCAAAGTGGGCTGGACCGGGAAACCCCTGAAATGTTGCAGGAAAATTGACTTTCCCTGGAGTCCAGCAAAAAGTCCGGACCTGTTTTGTATCTAAGAAAAAAACCCAACAAATGTCCAGTCCAAAAACTTGCGATCTGAGGCTTGATGTTAAAATGGGATGGTTGGCCTCAAAAAGGAAGCCCTCAACAAGGGGGAGATTGCAAACTCGTCGGAAGGTCGAGTTCCAGCAGGAAAAGGAAAGCATGGATCGTAGATTTCAAAAACCTCCCCTCAACAAATGGAAGAGAGCTAGCCGCTGCTGCATGAGTGCAATGGCCCAGCGAACACTCAGGCCCTGAGAAGAGAGTGGCCCGAAGGGATGCAAGCCCATTCGACCGATTCGCACAGGGATTCGAGCCCCTGGAAAGGGGGGGGAGCCTAGATTCTTGCAATCTGTTTGGCCCAAACAATTTGCAAAATCAAGCTTTCAGCATTTCAGCTTACCTTGCTTGCGCAAGGAGACACTTCAGGCAGATGGCTAGATTAAGCTGGCTTTCGTGATCAAGCGAAACAATGCAAACGCAGTGCCGCAAGCTGATTTCGTCATGTTCAAGGTCATCACCAAAGGACGGTTGACCTTCTTAGTCCATTTTTGTAGGAAGGCTGAACCAGATCGCTTCCGACCCTTGAAAACACTGGCACTCGTGTTTATGTCGTCAAGTGAATCATATATATATATATAGTATGTTGCAGGGATCATGGACTCCGTAGAACGAAGCATGCGCCCCAAACAAATGCTTCTGGAAAATCACACGAAATCCGGTGATACGTACCAATATGGGTCATTCCATGACTATGCCAAGAAAAACATGTCGATCCCATGTGTTCTCTAAATGGGCTTCAGCCCTCATGGGAAACCTTTTGGTTTTCCAACACTTGGCGATTTTAACCACGTGTTGACTGAAGCCCTACCCACCACACCCAATACCCGAATGTTGCAGGTATCATGACTGCCTAAAGAAGGCATGGAGCCATAAGCCGGGCTTCGAAATCACAATACACCCGGAAAAACAACGCAAAAATAGCGGATGCTTGGAGGGAACAAAACACCATGCCGAAAACATCTTCCCAAAAATGCACAAGGCATGGTACCGGCCAGGTGTGTCTTCCGCATGAGGTTTGGGCATACTGGGACAAAATCCTGCAATGATGCTTCTCTGGTCAATACCAACAACCATGATTTCCCATTGAACCAAAGTGGTGCAGGATTTCGTCCATCATCCACAGTAGTTTCAACAGACTCATGCCTGTCTCACATTCTTCAAAGGTCCGTCCGTCATTTCAAGGTCTGATGGCCCAAAGGTTTAGTCTACTCGAAGAATCGGAAAGGATTAATCAAAAGGGTCCCGAACCCTTTTAAGAATTTTGACGGGGAACAAAACCTACATGTCCCCCTTTTCGGTTGCTTTATTGACATCACGTTCTTGGGCCCCAGGGTGAGCTTCCTGTGGTGATGTTTTTTAAGAAACGATGCTGAAGGAAAACCGTCCTCCAGCTTGAAGGCTTTGAGGTTTAGCTCCTCGATCGTCATGGCCTGGCTCGCACCCCAAGTCCGATGCGTGGTGCCTTGTAAGGAGAAAACCCAAGAAAACCCCGCAAGCCCCCGCAACCCCCCCCCGTGGAAAGGCTTTGAGAGCCTTGGAAGGGGTTCTTAGAAGGCTCCCAACAACTCTTCTGGTGGCCGACGCGAAAAAAGCGACGCTCGACGTGCGACAGCGTGAGGTTCTATCAGTTGGCGCCGGTGAGGTGGAGGCAGCAGCAAACAACGTCGGACCGCTAGCCAGCTAGTCGCCCTCGGGTTGAGGCATGATCACCCCAAGCACCCAGCATCCCATCAACTGCCAACAGAGAACAACATGCCCTTTGCAAGTCGGTGGTTGTTGACAAGTAAGGGTGGTGCTCTTTAACTGATAAGTTTGCATAATTCGTGCCCCTGCCCAATAGCCCCGGCCCCCAGGTCTTACTCTGGGGTGGCTCCTTTTCTTTCACAAACTAGCCGCTTGACCGATTGATGGCGCAACTCTCAGAGTGACCTCCGAGTACAACCTGCACCTTGCCTCGCGCTTGCGTGAATAATGAGCATGTGCAGTGTGGACAAGAGTCAGCGGGAAAGCACGTGACTGTCGATTCTTCTCCCTTTGGCAAATCGATCCCATTAAGGGAACAATTGCACTGCTTGCGTTGAGGGCCGGAACAAATAAGCGCTGAAAGCAGACAATTGGAATCCAAGGTGAGCCTCTAACCGTCTTGTCAGCCAAAATGGCTGCTAATCTATTTTTCCACCAAAAGAAGACGATAAGGGCAAG